TCAGCATAACAGTATTCATTGTTTTTGTACCACACCCAGTGCTCCATGCAATCCGTGCCCTCTCTAATACCCACCACCTGGTTCCCCCAACCTCCCACCCTCCCACCTCTTCAAACCCTTCAGATTGTTTTTCAGAGTCCATAGTTTCTCATTGTTCACCTCCCCCTCCAATTTCCCCCAACTCCCTTCGCCTCTCTAACTCCCCATGTCCTCCATGCTATTTGTTATGCTCCACAAATAAGTGAAACCATATGATAATTGACTCTCTCTGCCTGACTTATTTCACTCAGCATAATCTCTTCCAGTCCAGTCCATGTTGCTACAAAAGTTGGATATTCATCCTTTCTGATGGAGGCATAATACTCCATAGTGTATACGGACATAGGTGCTATTTTAAGGTGCTCTTCAGTTTTTATGTAGATCCAGATTTCCATCTGGCATCATTTTCCTTGTGCCTGAAGGAATTCCTTTAGTATGGTTCAACATGCAGGCCTGTTAGTGAAGGATATCAGGTTGTATATGTCTGAAAAAGTCTTTTTGTTTATCTATTCTTTCGTTCTCATTTTTTAAAAGTATTTTTACTGGGCATAGAGTTCTAGGTTGCAGATTTTCCTTATTCCTTTCTTCTTTTTCTTTTCTTTCTTTTCTTTTTTCTTATACTTGAAAAAGTTGCTTCAACTGTTTTCTGGCTTATAGTGTTTCTGACAAAAAGTTTACTCTCTTCTTGTTTTTGTTTCTCTGGGGTGTTTTTCTTCTGAGTGCTTTTAAATTTTCTATCTCTAGGTTTAAGCAATTCAGTTATGTTGTGCTTAGCTGAAATTTTCTTTATGCTTCTTTTTTGTAGTGTTTGATCATCTTTGATCTATGTTCTTATCGTTTCCATTAAATTTGGAAAATGTTCAGCTATTATTTCTTCCAATATTATTTTCTTTTCTCTGCATTCTCTCCATTGGGGACATTGTGAATTTTACATCTTTGATGTATTGGATAATTTTGTACTCCAATAATGCTTTTGAGTTTGTTCTGGAATTCGGTTGGTTTACCTGGAAACTTATCTTTTCTGGTCTTGCTTTAAGCTCTGCTGGGCAAGACCAGTTTTTCCCCTGCTACTGAGGTAAAAACCTCAGAGCACTATTAATGCCATGTAAATCATGAAGAGATCCACTCTGACTTGTGAGAACAGGAATTCTCCCAATTCCAAGTGAATTCCAGGCATTCTTCCCTTTAATCCTCTCAGGTGATTCCTTCCTTGGCTTCTGATATGTTTTTCATTTGGATGTTCTGGTCAGTGCAAGCTAAAAACCTAATGCAGATGCTCTGCAGATCTGTCTGTACAGTTCTCTTCTCTCCTGTACTTGCACTCTGAATCCTACCTGCTTTGGTTTCATAATTCTCAGTTCCATCTCCTCACCTCAGGAAGACCACCATACTATCTAGCGTGGCAGGAAACCCTCAGGCAGTAGGCTGGGATGATCAAGGGCTCATTTCATTGCCTAATCTCCAATGTCTTAAAAACTATTGTTTTCAAAATTTTGTCTTTTTTGTCTTCTCTTTCTTTTTTTTTTTTATGTTGTTTCAGGTTGGGGGGGGGTATATCCAGTTCCTATTATTCCATCTGGACCATAAGCAGAAATCTGACCGACAAGTTTTTGTTCCTTCTTTTCTACTTTCTTATCTTTAATTATGATAATCAAATGTGAGTTTTTTGTGATTACTTCTATCCCTTTAATCTATTAGTTACACATTTTTTTAACATTACTCTGCAGTGGTTAACCTAGAAATTTTAGTACTGAAACTTGAGGTTGATAATTAAATAGGCATTATTACTTCTACAACTTTCCTTGAAACATAGAGCACATGGAGTCCATTTCTTCACTCCTGGCTTTTGCATTATTGATGCCATGTATTTTAATTCTATTATTTTTTTTTTTTGCCATGTAAGCATTATTGGTTCTCTTTTGTGTAGTTAATATTCTCTTATATTTACCCACAGACCTAAGCTCCTTCCCCTACCCCTTATTCTTTGCTCTTATTTCTTTCCTGAATTTTCATGTTTCATTTTCCTTTAGTGTACAGCACTGCATTTAGCTATTCTTTGAGTGCAGTTCTGCTATTAACATACTCTTTACATTTTTATTTACTTGAAAATACTTTTATTTTTAAAAACATTTTTAGTAGTTATAGCATTCTAGATAGGCAGTAATTTTCACTTAACAATTAAAGATGTTATTCTACTTTCTCCTTGTTTTTATCACTTATGTTAAGAAGTTTATCAGTCCTATTATTGCTTGTTTGAAAGTAATGTAGGGTTTTTTCCCTCGTAATAATATCAAGATTTTCCCTTTCCCTTAATTTCTATCAGTGTTATACTGGGGCTCCAATAAGATGTATGATATCCTTTTTGATGTTGCCCCACATGTCTATATGCTCCCAGTACTCCTAGTTGCACACTACAAAACTGGCCTGGACATCTGCTGTTGCTGTCATGATCTTGAAGTTGAATCAGGAAGACACCTCACAATGCTGGGCTCAGGACCATACCATATTTACTGTATTTGCTATCTACAGTAAATACTCCATAACTTGTCCCTTGACATCCATGAAGCGAGGCACAAGAGTCTCAGGCTTCTGCGGCAGCAGTTTCACTAAAGCCATGTGCTCTCAGGGCTGTTCAAATTAGGCAAAATGGTACAACCAACATAAATGTGGCTTCTGCTTTATGACATTCACTTTTGACATCTGTTTTTTTCTCAGCATGCCTCTACTGGGTAAAATCTAGGTTGGTACAAGAGCCATGGTGTCCTAAAGTCTTTGAAGTATACTTTGGCATGTATTAAGCAAATGTTACAGGAGATACAAATAAGAGATGTGAGCCAAACTTTTCATTGTTTATCCCTAATATGCCAATTTTGGAAAAATATTGGATAGAAATGGTATTTTGTCAAGTATGCATGTAGTTCATAGAATATACTCAGTTATATAAATAACTTATACTGTATGAAGTAGAGAGATTTTAGAGTTTTGTTATTGACAGATGAGTTTGAGAGATAATGAAGGAAAAAAGAAGGGAAGAGAATTAGAAAGAATGACACATCTATAAGTTTGTCTTTATTATCTTTTATTATTTCCACTAAATGTATTATTACCCCCTTCTCCCCCTAAGTTGAGATATACTTCCTTGGAATGTATATGAAATTTGGCTTAGGATTTTGTTCTAAAACCATTTTTAATAGCAACCTCTTTTAAGGATCAGCAAAATGTGGAGTACTAAATTATCCTCAGCAGAATTTCCACAACATGCTTGAGGTAGCTACTATTTTTATCATTATTTTAGAAATGTAGAAATGTAGGTACGAATGAGTTCTCATTTTCCAAAGTCACAATCTGGATATTGAGATTGTAAAACAGGGCTGAGTTACTCCAAAGTCTTCCTCTCAACCCGTAGTACATCAACAGCAAATAAGCAAGAGGCACCAGACAGGAAATTGCTGCAAAGGAAGACTACAGTGTAAGGACTACATTTATTAAATGCTCGCATATGTTCTATAGCTAGGGTAGCTGAAAGTATAGTACTAAAAAACACGAGTAGATGCTGAAGCATACAAGAGTTTAGTATGTAAGAAAAGGTGGAAATTCAGATCAGTGGCAAAAAACATGAATTATTTGATAAGTAATTGGAGTAACGTGGCAACTCTCTGGGAAAAAATGAGGTTGTGGGGCGCCTGGGTGGCCCAGTCACCTGCCTTCAGCTCAGGTCAGGATCCCAAGGTCCTGGGATTGAGCCTGAATCCAGCTCCTGCTCAGTGTGGGGGATCTGCTTGTCTCTTTCTCTCTGCCCCTCCCCCACAACTGCGAGCGCGTGTGTGGTCGCCCTCTCTCAAATAAAATCTTTTTTTAAAAAATGAGGTTGTGTACTTACCTGACACTGTTCACAAGGATTTATTTTATATTCATTGGTTAAAAATTAAACCAAAGGAGCATTATAAAATACCATGGCTACAGAGAGAGGAAAAAGAGAGAGAGAGAGCTCACAGGGTTGCTGGTGGGGGATGGGGGAGAGGAAGAGAATCATTACAGCAGACTCCTCATGAAACAAGGAGCCCAGATGTGGGACTCAATCCACAACCTATGAGATGTTAGTCTATTCTGTTTCTTTTTGTGAAATGTGTTCACCTGCTAAGGATTCATTGTTCTGTGCTATTATGGCATGTGTACTTTTCTCTGAATATATTTTATTTTAATAAAAAGTTACAAAATGAAAATAGTGACAGCTCTCACCTCACTAGGTTATTTTATAGTTTAAATTAAAACCCATTAGAATGTAAACTACATGAGGACAGTAGTTTTAATCTTTTTTTCCACTGCTGTATACCCAAGATTAGAGCATGACCTGGTATATAGTGATCATTCAAAACATTTTTCAACATGAATGATAATATAGCACAGTGCTGATTTCATCACCCACCACAGATTACAAACACTAAACATTAGACATTACTATCAATAATATAGTTTTATCATTGCTTGAGACTAGTAGGTCATTTTTCTCTTTAAGAAGTGTAACCTAGACAACACTGTGTTTTAACATGAGGTATCCATTATCTCATGTTTCTAAGTTCATCTCTCCATTTGATCAATGGTGGCAAAGAAATCAATGGCCACAGGTGAACTTTACTCCATGGACTTACAATAGGGAATTAAAGTTGAAAATTTACCTTGATTTTATGCAGTCTGAGTTAATGATTTGTGCTGCTGCTATTGTTGCCCTCACAAGTTATCACGTTTTTACTAGACTCTGGCATGAAAAGTATTGTCAATTAACATAGTCATGTTATTTTAGTATTATTTGAAAATATTTTAAATGAAATATAAGTTTTGTTACAAAGATACTTTGACAGATGTTGTCAATAATTAACTTTTTCTTCAGGCAAAGTATTGTGTACTTATGAGTCCCTAGTACTTTAGAATTGTTAAAATCTTTATTGGGCACACCGTTGACGATGAGGACGAAAGAGTTGGCTTTTATCATCATATTAATCATCTCAGGAGAACTCTATGCAGAAGGTAAAATTAATTTTTCATAATCTTTATTCTCTAAAAATTATAAAGGGAAATTATAACATTCATTTAACTTGAACTTTTATTAATAGTCTTTCATTTGCGTATCAACTTGATGAAAAGCACAATTCTTATAATTGTTATAAATATTTACGCAGATTTTTTTCCCTTGGGCATAACTAGTAAACTACCCTTATAATGACAAACGTAGAGAAACAGCACAAGACAAAAAAGAAGAAAACAGCTTTGTACCTCTAGGTTTTGTGGCATAGGAGATGAGGATCTAAAAACTTGGAAGGGTTTTCAGTCTAACAGAACCACCGATTAGAAGTCGTATGTTAACCTTAATTCTAATTTCATACTAGAATTTATTCCTAATGCTGCATAGCTTGTACAATTTTAATTCTCTGTTCGTAAAGTGAGAGCTTAGTGTTGGAAATTTGAAAAAGAAATATTCAAGAATCATCAAGATTTTGGAATCTTTACCCTTTGATTTGTATCCTAATTTGTTCACTGGTTGAAATGTTTTAGTGATTAGGAGGAAGACTGTATAATGTTATGCAGATAAAGACACTTTTGAGGATGAAATAGAGCTCTATTAATAGTTATATGAGACAACAGTATAAGTTAGGACTGTGCAGACAAACCAGTACACATGGACTCCTTAACTCTTAGAAATCTTTATAGCCAGATTGCCGGGTGTGTGAATAAGTGTGAGTGAGACAGGCAATGTGCAAGTGTGGGTTATTTAGGACTAGTTAATAGTGTTATTAGGCTGTAGAGATAAGAAACAAGAAAGGATAATTAGGTGTCAGCAAGAGTGAATATACAAATGAGGAAACCACACAGCAATAAGACTTTTCTAAAAAACACATTTGGAACTTTGTTGAGATAAAATATCCTATGAATTATAATTGCCTTTTATTTCTTTTTAAGATTTTATTTATTTATTTGTCAGAGAGAGAGGGAACAGAGGCAGGCCGAGTGGCAGCAGAGGCAGAGGGAGAAGCAGGCTCCCTGCCGAGCAAGGAGCCCGATGTGGGACTCCATCCCAGGATGCCTAGGGATCACGATCTGAGCTGAAGGCAGCTGCTTAACCAACTGAGCCACCCAGGCGTCCCTATAATTGCCTTTTAGGTAATAGTTTACTATAAATTTCCTACCAAAAAAGTGCCTGCAGTTAAAATTATGAAAGTGAAATAAATAGAATTCATCTTATTTGATACATTCAATTCTACAACAAGATAACTTTTGCATGAATTATTTCCTTTGGTTTTATTTTTCTAAATAGGGAAAAATCAGCTGATATAATTCTCTACATCTATATACCACGAAGACATTGCATTTTCCTCAGGATGCCTGGGTGGCTCAGTCGGTTAAGCGTCTACCTTCAACTCAGTCATGGTCCCAGGGTCCTGGGATGGAGTCCCACATTGAGCTCCTTGCTCAGCGGGGAGCCTGCTTCTCCCTCTGCCTGCCATGCCCCTTACTTGTGCTCTCTCTCTCTCTGACAAATAAATAAAATCTTTTAAATAGAAGACATTGCATTTTCCAGATAATTTCCTAGTTATTATATGGTTATAATCTCCTTTTACTCAAACAAACAGACAAAAAAGCTAACCATAATCTCATATTTCCATGCTTTCCCTCACCCCATTAGGAACATTAGGGGCAAGAATTGAATTAATGGTACCTCTCATTTTATAACATTCAATCATCATTGGCCTATGAAATGTTCCACTTTTGCTTTATTTATATATTTCTTCCCTATATCCCTGACCCTGAATTCCATTTCCCCTAGCATCAAACTGGGAGCCACTGTTGTGTATTTGACATATTCATATATATGTAACTATCTTTCTGAACTATGTCTTATTTTGTGTATGTGCTTTATAGTCACATAAATGAAAGCTTGCCAGCAGTTTGATCTCCTTACTGTTTTGTTTTACTTGCTACCTTTTAAATATATTCCCATGTTGCTGAATCTATTCTGTTGCTTTTAACTGTGCATAGTGTTTCATATATTTTACTTATCTATCTTCCTTGTGATGGACATATCATTACTTCTAATTTCCTTCTAACCACAAATAATTCTTAATGAATGTATCCTATAATCACCTTATTTATTTGTTACAATTTGCCCTGTATGTGTTCACATGTGTTAACAAAACTGTATTGTCTATTTAAAAGTTGCTAAGAGAGCAGATCCTAAAAGTGTCATCACAGGGAAAAAAAATTATAAGTGTGTGGTGACAGATGTTAACTAGATTTATTGTGAGATGATTTTGCAATATGTGCAAATAAATACGTGGAATCGTTATGCTGTCTACCCAAACTAATAAAATGTTATACATCAATTATACCTCAATAAAAATTTATGTCAGTACATGTAATGTTTACTTACGTGTGACAGGCTTCTTTCACTGAATAATATGTTTGTGAGATTCACTATCCAACATTCACCACGGCTGCATGACATTCAGCTTTGTATTGTTGTACAATATTCCACTGAATGCATGTCTAAAATGTGTTTATCTTTTCTTCCATGAATGGGCATTTGGCTTGTTTCCAGTTTGGGACTACATGAATAGTGCTGCTATGAACATTCTTTTACATGTTGTTGGGTGGACAGAAGAATACTTTTATTCCTTCTTTCATTTTGTTGATGTGATGGATAACATTGACCAATTTTCACATGTTGAACCTTCCTTGCATTCCAGGGACAAAATCTACTTGCTCATTGGTCCTTTTAATATGCTGCTGAATTCTGTTTGCTAGTGTTTTGCTGAGAACCTTTGCATCAGTGTTCATAAGGGATGAGTGCTTTTTAAAAAAGAGTACATGTATATTCTGCTTTAATATTGCCAAAGAAAGCTGAGTACTTTTTATGAAGTCTGTGACCATATATATTTCCTGTTTTGTAAATCTCTTGCTCAAGTCTTTTATTTATTTTTTAATTAGTTGTCTGTCTTTTTCTTTTAAAAAAAAAAAGCCATTCATTTCAAAATTTTGTGGGTTTGCATATCTTAAGTGGAACTTCATCTACTCTAAACTCTGCTGTCCAGTATGGTAGCCACTAGCTGCATACAGCTATTGAAATGTGGTTAGTCCAAGTTGGGAGTGCTGTAAGTATAAATATACTCAAGTTCAGACTAGTAAGAAAAAAAAATGAAAAACCTTTTTAATATTTTAATGGGTTAAATAAAATGTATTATTAAAATTAACTTCAACTGTTCCTTTTATTAATGTGACTACTAGAAATTTTAAAATTACATATGTGGCTTGCATTATATTTCTATTAGAAAGTGCTGTTTTACAAAGTTAGGGAAAGCTTCCCTGGGGAAGTGGTTTGACTAGTTTTATTCTGACTATTGGTTATTGGGGTTGCTAGTAGATTAATTCTGATTGAAAAACATTGCCACAGAAGTCCCTTAAAAAGTGAGGTAATAAAAATAAGTACTGGTCCAAGTGGCTTCAAACGCTTTGAATTTTAAAATGTGCTGCCATTTGATCACACATCCTATGGTTTTAGATATACCTTTCTGTTTTCAGCTTGATATTTACTCATTTCAGAGAAACCCTGTGGTCTTCCTAGTGTGGAAAATGGAAGGATTGCCCAATATTACTATTCTTTTAAAAGCTATTACTTTCCAATGAAAATAAATGAAAAACTGTTGTTTTCCTGCTTGGCTGGTTATACAACTGAAACTGGGAAACAAGAGGCACAAGTCACATGTACCCGAGAGGGCTGGTCTCCAGAACCACGTTGCTTCAGTGAGTGTGTGGGTTGTGTCCACAAAATATTTATAATATTTAAGGAGATCAGTTCATAAAGGTCCAAGAAAATCTGGTGGGTGGTGAAACCTTTTGGTAGTTAAGAAAAAATTACCAACCCATTCTTTCTTTTAAAAATGAAGGCATATTCTGAAATTCTGTAAATAGTATTTCTTATTAAAATGTTATTGTCTTTGTTCTTTAGAGTACCTGTAAAGAGAATATGGATACTTACTGAAAATGGTATAATAATACTGTAAGAAACAGATGCAAATGACTTACTTTAAGGAATGAGGAACTTATACAGATAATAGTGCATAGGAAGCCAGAAAAATGCTTGACACCGGACTTAGGAAGAATACGATTGTTACTCTAGTGTTTTATCCTTTGAAAAACTTCTCTCTTCTTTGTGTGCCAACTCCTTCTCCCATAGATTCAGAAATATGTGTTTTCTGAATTTTAAGTTCAAATTTAGAAAAAGGAAATCTGATTGGTTCTTCTCATTATTTCATGCCAGGCTATCCTATGTCAAACTATTAATGGGCTTCCATTAGATCAGCTGACCTCTCTTGAACAAAGAAAGGACTCTCTAAGCTCTGTTTTACAGAGTAGAGGTTTCAGTTGGGCCTGTTTCATTTAGAAGGGGAAATGAGTATGATGGTGCTTGGTATGTATAGTGAGCATATCCATGTAGGATAATTATCCTTTCCACGACTGGAGAACAGACCATTAATTTAAGCATTGCACTTTTAGTATTAACATAGACCATAGAAAGAAATGAAGAAATAAAGAAAGAAGGGGAAAAAGAAAGAAAGATTGATTAATATATAGAGCTTAAAAATAAATGAAACATTAGCAAGAGCTTTGAAATAGGAACCAGAAAGAAGAACTCAGGTTTAGCGTGTCGTCTAATGGTTAAGATAGAACCTCTGCAGTTAACCTGCCTGTATTTGAATTCTGTTCCCTCACTGGGAAGAGAGCATTGTGAGCCTAAGCTTCTCATCTATAAAGTGGGCATAAACCTGCTTCACGGAGATAATCCATATATAGTTCTTGGCTTGTTATGAGGATCTAATAGTAGGGCTTAAAAAAATTACTGAGCTCATTCAGTGCTGAGGTATATTTATTATCTGACACAACACTGTTGCAAGTATCTGCTAAAAAATAACTGCAAACTCAAAGGTTTTGAGTAACAGGTCTATGATTCAGTCCCCAGTCAGTCACTGTCTACACGGACTGACTGGGAATAGGCTACACATACTTACTGTGTGGTTAGGTGATCGTTTGCTGAGTTAAAAAAAAATGAACGTAGTTTTCATGTTAAGGTATCTACAGACTTATTTAAGGACCCATAAGTTAGGTATGTGCTTTTGTTACATGGTGTTGAAACTTGTCAAACACAGTAGATTTAAATATTAGGACGTCAACCCAAATGAAATTCCTTCTATTCGTCATTAATGACAATTAGGAGAAGAGTTCTCTTATGTTTTCTAAAAGTAGATGTGATAGGAGTGGGAGTCACAATAAGAATCGAAGTTAATAAATACAAGGAATGTCAAGTCAAGAGTTGAATCAGTTTTTTAAGAAAATTGATTCAGAATATGCAGGATAATTCCAAAATTAAATCAAATCAAGGAATTCTGGAGTGAAATTTTTCTCTGTCCTTTAAATTCCAAGAAAAATATTAAACTTTTACCTTAGTTTTACAAGTAAGTAAAAGACAAGTTTAATTTCACCAAGTTAAGCAAAGATTTTTTTCTCCCCATAGAAAAATGCGTTAAGCCTGAGTTGAGGAATGGTTACATCTCTGATGTAAAATTAATGTACAAAATTCAAGAGAACATGCGTTATAGTTGTAATTCAGGATATAAAACCACTGGAGGAAAGGATGAAGAAGTAGTTCAATGTCTTGCTGATGGATGGTCTTCTCAACCTACCTGTAAGAAGGAACATGGTATGTGTTTAAGAATCATTTCCTAAATCAAGTAAAATTGATTCTGATTGCCTTTTTTTTAGACTAATTCATAGTTTTTCTGCATATGTTTCTAACAATTATGAGGACATATTTTTGTCATAATGCTTATTATTAAAAGTTTTTGTGCTACAAAAAAAAGAATCATTTTCTAAAACTAAAGATAAATGACTGTGAGGCTAGTACTTTCTTATATTGATAGTCATTTTTATTTAATATAATTGATTTTTTGTATGTCTGTAAAGGCAAGAAGTTGATATCATATTGTTTTTCTTAAATGTTAGGTGTTTCCTTTACCCACGAGTTCCCAACTCCCACAACTCACCTACTCCACTAGTTCCTATTTAATTTTTTTAATATTAATACACTTTTTAGAGCAGTCTTAGATTTGCAGAAATACTGGACAGCTAGTACAGAGAATTCCCATATACCGCTTCCTGCCCTTGGCCACATTTGATTACCCCTATTATTAACATTTTGTATTTAGTGTGGTATATTTGTTGCATTAACCAAAGTTCATACTTTAGGGTTCATTCTTTGTGTCATACATGCTGTGGATTTTGTCCAATGTATGATAACATGTATCTATCACTGAGAAATCATACAGAATAGTTTCAATGCCCTATGAATCCTTTGTGTTCCACCTGTTCATCCATTTTTCATTCTGCTAACCATTGGCAACCCCTGATCTTTCTTTTTAATTGCAGTAAAATATACATAACATGAAATTTTAACTATTTTTAAGTGTACAATTCAGTAGCCTTCAGTACATTCACAATGTTGTATAACCATCACCATTATTTCTTCTTCATCACCATTATTTCTTCTTTATCAACCCAAACAGAAATTCGTACCCATTAAACAATAAACCTGTCTATCCCCCACCCTACCCCAGTATCTGGTAACTTCTATTTTCTGTCTCTATAAATTTCCTTATTTTAAGTACTTTGTATAAGAAGGGTCACGCAGTATTATCCTTTTGTGTCTGACTTACTTCACTTAGCATAATGTAGTCAAGGTTCATCTATGTTGTAGCATGCATCAGAATTTACGTTCTTTTTATGGCTAAATAATATTTTATTGTGTGTATATAGATAGATCATCTATAGACATTTTGTTTATTCATTATCCATTGATGGACACTTGGGTTGGTGGCAGTTCTTCTAAAAATTAAACATAGAGTTACCATAGGATCCAGTAATTCCACTTCTAGGTATATATCCGGAGGGAAAGCAGGGACTCAAACAGACTTTTGCACAACAATGTTCCTAGCAACATTTTCACAATAACTAAAAGGTGGAAGTAGTTCCTACTTTATACTATAAATAAAAGAATGGAATGGAATAGGAGTGCCTGGGTGGCTCAGTCGGTAGGGCATCTACCTCAGGCTTAGGACATGATCCTGGGGTCCTGGGATTGACCCCCGTGTCCGGCTCCCTGCTCAGCAGGGAATCTGCTTCTCCCTCCCACTTGGGATCTCTCTCTCTCAAGTGTGTAAATGAAATCTTAAAAAAAAAAGCCTGGAATGGCATGGAATAGGATGAAAAAAAACCTCAAGCCTATTTCTCACAACATATATAAACTGCTAATTCCTTTATTAGAGAGGAATTTGAGGTAACGCTCATTATCTTTATTGGTAAACCAGTATCAGATATACTTAAAATAATCCAATAATTTGAATATGTATACTTTGTTAGTGTGTTGTTAGTTGCTTAAATTGTATAAATCCTCAGATGACACAGACTCAAAAAATTGTTACTGTACAAGCCTTCAGTTGAATTGTGGCCTTCTGCCAAGTATACTAGACCAGAATTTTAAGAATAGAAGACTGGTGGCATTAAGACACAAGATGTATAAAGAAAAACAGGAACTAGAGATGCAAAGGCAAACTGGCTATTTTTCAATTTTGCTGAAGTTTGATTCGGCCAAATATGCTTCAGATTTTGTGAAAATACATTTTGAGATTTATTTTTAATATTATAGTTTTAGTGATAAAGTTCATAAAATAAATAAAGTTGATTTTTTTTTTTTTAGAAACATGTTTGGTCCCTGAATTAGATCATGGGAATTATTCCACGGCGCAGAAAACGTTCAGAGTGAAGGACAAAATACAGTACGAGTGTGCTGCTGGCTACTACACAACTGGGGGAAAGAAGACAGAGGAGGTAGAATGCCGCACATATGGATGGTCTCTCACACCAAAATGTACCAGTAGGTTCTCATTTTAAGGACAATCTAGTTCTCATTTTAAAAACTTTCTCTCATCCAGTAGTGTATATAAATTGTCACACTCATGTTTCATTTTTCATACATTTTTTTTTTGCTTCGGGTTTTAATTATGTTGATCACCAGTTTTGATCATTTAAAGCTCTCAAGTAGAAAAAGAATTTCTCTTTGCTCAGATAATTAAATTAGAATAAGCCTAATGATACTTAATAAATATAGAAATTGGCAAGTTTTTGTTATGTGTAAAAAAATATGGCAAATTTACTCATTTCTATTCCAGACATGGTATATTGTTCAACAGAAAAAATAACACATTTTTTGAATTTTATTTGTGCTTTCATTTTTAGAATTAAAGTGCTCTTCTTTAAGATTAATAGAAAATGGTTATTTTCATCCTATAAAGCAAACATATGAAGAAGGAGATGTAGTTCAGTTTTTCTGTCATACAAATTATTATCTAAGTGGATCTGACTTAATTCAGTGTTATAACTTCGGTTGGTACCCAGCATCTCCTGTATGTGAAGGTAATTTTTAAAATTTCATACTCATACAAATAAAATATTGTGTCTTAATTAGCTTAATTTCTATGCAAAAATGTTTCTGATGTTATCTAATTCTTGTCCTGAGTGCTATTTTTTTTTTTTTTCAGTTTCAGAGGTAAAGTTTAGTGATTCATCAGTTGCATACAACACCCAGTGCTCATTACTTCAGGTGCCCTCCTTAATGCCCATCATCCAGTTACCCCATTCCCCACCCATCTCCCCTCCAGCAACCTTCAGTTTGTTTCCTAGAATTCAGCGTCTCTTATGGTTTACCTCCCTCTCTGTTTTTGTCTAATTTTATTTTTCATTCCCTTTGCCTGGGTTCATCTGTTTTGTTTCTTAAATTCCACATATGAGTGAAATCATACAGTATTTGTCTTTCTCTGACTGACTTATGAGAACTCAGCCATCAAAAAGAATGAAATCTTGCCATTTGCAATGATATGGAATGACATGGAGGGTATTATGTGGAATACTATTTTTAAAAATAATTATGGTCTTTTAAATCATTGCTAGATATTTTCAGCAATATTTAATCTTAAGAAATTTAAGAAAAATTTAAGAAATCTTAAAGGTTGTATTAGTTTGTAGAGTGGATGTAACTTTTAAACTCTTTCATTATAATGAATACATTTTACTTATTGGGAATTACTAGATTCAGTTATCTCACGCTGGTGGTTTGTGACGGTTCTTAGTTGGCCACATATTTCCTGATGTGAAAATACAGTCTTCAAAATGGTGGGGGTAAAGAACAGAAAAAAAAAAAAAATATTACCCAGAGTAAAAATGAAAAATATCGTCCTCAAGTAAGAGTATTCCTAAAATGTAATGTCTATGGCAAGTTTCTATCACTGGACATGTTCAAGCAGACAGTATGATCACCTATTGGGAGACAATTCACACATCATTTAAACATACCTACAATGATATATGAAGGAAGTCCAAGCCTAGCAGAGGAAACAAATTTAAAAAGGTAATTGACACAATGTGACAAATATAATAAATTCAGATATAAATTATTTGAACAAACACTGAAGATTTTGATTGGTATGATGTGGGATAGAATTTTTGGAGGTGATGAATAACATTTGAACTGAAAGGTAAATAGGATTTTGAGGATTGGAGGGGATGGAGAGTATATATACTCTGTAGTATAGAAAATAATATCATTATTGATCAACAAGAGAAAGACAGGAAAGTGGAACTTGGAGGAGGGGGTGAAGATTTGAAGCAAATGTTGGGAGGGGTGAAAGAGGGAGATGACCATGGGTATGAGATGAGATTGCCCAGAATGATCCTAACTCTTTAAATGCACCAAATGATAACATTAATGTTTTTGTTTTTGTTTTTAATTTTCCAGTCCTGCCCAAGAGACTTGGTCTAACAGTATAGAAGATAGTTAGCAAATTGTTAACATTTTATTACAGAAATAAATTGCAAACCTGCTTAATATCTACTCCACTCCCCATCCAAATTAGCATGCTATTATTTTCTCTAGTAAATAGTGATTAGATGTAGAGTAGGCAGTGCAGTTGGGTCAATAATAATAAATTATATCCTAATCCCTGGAACCAATGAATGTTACCTTACTTATATGGCCAAAGGGACTTTGCACATGTGATAAAGTTAAGGATCTTGAGGTAGGAATAATTTCTGATTATTCTGAGGGTCTAATTGTGGACCCTCAGTATAATCACAAGCCTCTTTATAAGAGGGAGGCAGAGGGAAATCTGACTACAAAAGAAGAATAGAGATGTGACAATGGAATAGAAGCAAGAGGTTGGAGCAATAGGAGGAAAGGTCATGTGCGTAAGAATGCATGTAGCCTTCAGAAGCTTGAAAAGGCAAAGAAGCTGAGTCATAAACTTGCAGAAGGAATGCAGCTCTCCCGACAACTTGATTTTAGCCCAATGAATTCTGGACTTTTGGCTCCCAGAGCTGTAAGAGAATAAATCTCTGCTATTTTAAGCCACTTAATTGTAATAATTTGTCACAACAGCAATAGGACATTAATACAGTCTGTGTTTTAGAATACTGAAGAACAGATTTAATTCATGTAGTCATAGGTACAAGAACAGATCCATGGGGCACCTGGGTGGCTCAGTGGTTTAAAGCCTCTGCCTTCGGTTTGGGTCATGATCCTGGGGTCCTGGGATCGAGCCCCACATTGGGCTCTCTGCTCAGCAGGGAGCCTGCTTCCTCCTCTCTCTCTGCCAGCCTCTCCGCCTACTTGTGATCTCTGTCTGTCAAATGAATAAATAAAATCTTTAAAAAAAAAAAGAACAGATCCACTACTTAATAGTTAATTTATTTACTTCAGAAATTTCAGTTTATTTATCTATGAGAGAAATAATTATCCCTGCTTAATGAAGTTATTTTAGGATTAGAGGAGATAACAAATGCTATTTTGATTTGCTTGCTTTATTAGTTTTCTATTGGTGCATAACAATGCATTACAAATTTAGCAACTTAAAACAGCACACTTGTATTATTTCACAATTTCTGTAGGAGTCTGAGCCTAGCTTATCTGGCTCCTCTGCACTCCTGTTGAACAAACTGCAATTAAAGTGTCAGCTGGGGCTTCAGTCTCATCTGAGGCTGGACTGGGGAAGAATCTGCTTTCAAACTCATGGTTATTGGTAGCATTGAGTGCTTTGCAGACAGGTGAACTGAGAGCCTCAATTTCTTCTTGGGTGCCAGCTAGAGGCAGCCCTTTGCCCCTTGTCTTGTTGCACCACCCCCTTTTGGAAGCTCACAATGTGGGTGCTTGCTTTTTATCAAAATCAGCAGGGGGACAGTCTTTCAGCAAGAATGGCCTTAACATACTATGTTGCATATCATGCATACGTAATCACATACTCCCATCATCTTTGCTGCACTCATTGATGAGAAGCAAGTCACAGTTCCTGCTTATGGGGAAGGTTATCACCCAAGGAAGCGAACGTTAAAAACATCAAAAGTAGAGATCAACGGGTGACCCTAGGGTCTGCCTACCATGCTTCCTCTGGTATTTGGATCTAGGAAGGGTGCTTATTAAATCTACATATTATTTTTTGTAATTATATGACTAACTCTGATGATAATTTATATCAGGAAGAAGAAATCGATGTCCTCCTCCACCTCTGCCTCTACACTCCAAAATTCAAACATATTCAACAACTTATCGTCATGGAGAAACAGTTCGTATAGAATGTGAACTTAATTTTGAGATACAGGGATCACAAGAAATACGTTGTGAAAATGGAAAATGGACAGAACCTCCAAAATGCATAGGTTAGCAACACCTTAATCAGTTTTCCCTAAAATGAAGTCTGCATGTGTAGCTATACACATGTGAATACAAAATGTCTCTTTTCAGAAGAAAAGGAGAAGACAGCCTGTGGGGACCCACCCATCATTGAGAATGGTACAGCAAACCTGGACTCTACGATTTATTACAATGGGGATAAAGTGGCATATGAATGTAAAAGTGGGTATCATCTCCGAGGATCAACAGAAATAACTTGTAAACGTGGAAAATGGACACGTCCTCCTGAGTGTGTTGGTGTGTATGCTACATTTACCAGCAATAGTTAAGCCTGTTGTTTAAAAATTTTTCATTTTCCTTATTTAATCTATATATTTCTAGCAAGAGACTACTGCTTAAAAAAGTTATAAAACACCCTGATTCAGCACCTACTCTGCTGTTTTTTGGTGTGTATATGAAGCCTTCTGTAGAATTTAGCCCAATGTAAAGAAGTGGGAAACTAAAAAAAATTTTTGAATATACATTAATGCTAAACACTGTTATCTGATCTGTTGACACCAGGACTTCTGAGGTTTAAGTGAAAGCACATAAGTAATAGCTGATTGGGTGACTGGCCATAATCATGATCTACTTCCTCTCCCTTCATGTCCTACAAAGTCATATTAGAGCACTGTGTTCCTGTCTTTAGGTCAGTCCTTCTGGTATTACTTACGTATCTGGCCAGTCTGAACCCTATACCGTGAGCCCTATACCTGTCCCCGGTCTTTTGTTTCACTAACATGCACAACCAGGCTACATTGCCACTCCTGGGTGCTACCCTTCCTGTTACCTTTCTCATTTCTTGATCTCTCCTAGAAAGATCTCCGCAATCATGTTTACTTACGATATTTATTGCATAAGAGAAAAGCTATTAAGGATGCTAAAGAAATGAGAAGAGTAGGAGAAAAACTAAAGAGAGAAAAAGTAGACAATGTCATCCATGGATTGACTGAGATCTGGAATGAAAGGAAAGAGAATTAAAAAATAAAAGTGGGTGATGACAAAGGGTAGTTTTAGAACTGACCATAATCTTCAGGTCATTGTTTACCTTTCTATACATTTTAAGAATATTTGTATCATGATTCCTTCATAAGCAAGAAAACTGACAGATATGCATATGTGTTTTTAGGCAAAACATTTGCTGTTATTCTTACTATGTAAATTTTTAAAATATTTGGTCTGAATAGCATTTTTCTCATTTCTGGAGAATTTAGAAAACAATTGTCCTAAACTATATAATATAAATAACAAGGTACAATAGTATGAGTAACTATATGATATCATTATGTTGTTATAAATTCATATTAATTTTAAAATAACCTCTTTTTTTTAAGAAAATAATGAGAATTGTAAGCCACCACCTGATATAATAAATGGGGCTGTTGTTGATGGATTATTAGCAAGCTACACAACAGGATCCTCAGTAGAATATAGATGCAATGAATATTACTTACTGAGTGGAGCAAAAGTATCTCGTTGTGAACAAGGAAGATGGTCATCCCCACCTATTTGCTTAGGTAAGACAGAGAACACATTGTATTTTTTTTTTAATTTTCCCAGCTATATTGAGATACAATTGGCATATAACATATGAATTTAAGTTATACCATGCAGTGAGTTGACACACATATATGTTTTACAATAAGGTTCATTGACATTCCCTTCACTTCACATAGTCATAGTTGTATCTGTTGTTCTTGTCATTACTATGAGTGCATTTAAGATGTACTCTCTTGGCAACGTTCAAGTATTCAAAATAAAATTGTAAACTATAGTCACCATTATATACGTTAGGTCCCTAGAACTTATTCCTTTTTTAACAACCCATTGAATTTCTTATACCATTATGTTTGTATTTTATGTGATTTTTATATAACATTTTATTGCATGTAAATGATGATTTTTTTCCAAGTGTTTTTCCTTTTCATTTTTGTAAGCAGAAAATCTAATATCAGAGGGTCTAAAACTACATTACTCTTACCTACTATTTTTTAAATTGTGGTAAAATATGAACAACAAAGCCTTACCATGTTAGCCATTTTTAAGTGCACATTTCAGTGGCATTAAGTAGATTCACATTTTAGTGACTGATTATTTTCTCCTAAATGATAGCCTCAGTGTCTCTCTCTATATTGTTCTCAGAATGCATTTGGAGAGAATAATCAATCCATTTCTTTCCTTGGTAGAAGATATTGTTAATAGCTTTCTTGGCTGTCAATTCCTCACTTAAATGGTCACCTTTGTTCTATTTTGTTGAGCAAATAAAAACATATTTGTGATTACTTTAAGTATATTTTAGATTGAAACATAGTGTAATTAACATTAATGATTCAAATGGAGAATGAAGGGAGCTATCTAAATAATTATGTAAGTTGAGATAACTTTCAGAACATAAATATTCACCTTTCATTTCAAGCCTACAAATTTGCCTCAATTTTTTATTTTTTATTTTTTATTATGTTATGTTAGTCACCATATAGCATGTCATTAATTTTTGATGTAGTGTTCAAGATTCATTGTTTATATATAACACCCAGCGCTCCATGCAGTACATTCCTTCCTTAATACCCATCACCAGACGTGGCAATTGCATTACTGGGTATTTACCCCCAAAATACAGATGTAGTGAAAAGAAGAGCCATATGCACCCCAATGTTCATAGCAGCAGTGTCCACAACAGCCAAACTGTGGAAGGAGCCAAGATGCCCTTCAACAGATGAATGGATAAAGAAGATGTGGTACATATATACAATGGAATAGTATTAGCTATCAGAAATGATGAGTACCCAACTTTTGCATCAACATGGATGGGAATCAGCATTGGTGGTATAGTGGTGAGCATAGCTGCCTTCCAACATGGATGGGACTGGAAGAGATTATGCTAAGTGAGATAAGTCAAGCAGAGAAAGTCAATTATCATATGGTTTCACTTACTTGTGGAACATAAGGAATAGGATGGAAGACATTAGGAGAAGGAAGAGAAAAATGAGGAGGGGAAATTGGAGGGGGAGACAAACCATGAGAGACTGTGGACTCTGAGAAACAAGTAAGAGATTTGCCTCATTTTTTAACTTTGCTAGTCAGAATTACATGTAATTGCAATGTTAATTGGTCACTACAGTTGCAATGAACTTGTTACATTGTGACTTTTGCAAATAGGTAATGGTACCATAATCTTTCTCTAAGTTAAAATAAAATCACTTAATTACAAATATTAGCATTTCAAACTATATAAATGCAAATCATTGTTATTTACCAAAAATTGATAAATATATAGAGGCAACTAGAAGAAAACAGAAAATATCAGTAATTTGGGCTGAAACAAATGTTGTTAATGACTTAGACAACAGTTTTCTGAACCTTTTTGTACACACACACATACAAAACCTATTTACAAAGAAATATATGCTGTCACGAGAGGCTATGTAATTCATTTTTTCCCCACAAACTATATTATGAACATGGTTTGATATACCTCTACAATATACATTTTAATGGCTACCTAGTTTTCTGTAACATAGATATGTCATATTAATCACTTTTTGATGGAAGTTTAGTGTGTTTTCAACATTTTTATATTCCAAACAATACATTTTGTACTAAATGTCTGCACTTATAAAAAAATTATATTTTTTAATATTTAAAATTAAGTATATTTATTTCACGTTTGATTTTGTTTTGGGTATCTTTTTTCATATTTTCTGAAAAAGAATTTCTGGATCAAAAAGATCTGGAATTTTAATTATTTTTCTGTTAATTGCTAAATTGTCCTTCAGAAAGTTAATCTGATTTACAACTCTACCATCAGTGGATTAATGTAGTAGTTTCCTTAATCCTTGTCAACTTGAATATTTTAATCATATATTGTTAACCCAACAATTAAAATTATTTTAATTTGGTTTATTTAAGTACTAATCAATTAAGTTTATTTTTATTTGATTTGGTTGATTTAAGTTATATTTGATTTGGCTTGTTTAAGTATTACTCAACTGAGCATTTTTTGATTTTCTAGTGGCCACAGGTTTTTTTTTTTCAGTGACTTTGATTTTTCATTCTTGTAATAAAAGTTTTATTTATATAAATTATATTATTCATTTGACGATGATGCAAGATACAACAATGTCTATTGCGACCATTTTTATTTTCCTTTTATTTTATTTATATTGTGTATATATATATATATTTAAATTTTAAGTCTTTAGCTCTTTCAGCATCTACTTGGTGGTTTCTCTATTCCAAGTCATTCCTAAGCTGCTGTTCTTGTTCAAATTCAAATATGTCTACCTATAACTTTTCTGTTGCCCTCATATTTTCATAGAGGTTTTTGATGCTAAGTTTTTGATGATGTGACTGATAATGCATTGAATGGAAATACAGTCATCTCTGAGGATAAAGACTGGAAAGTTTAAGGAAATCTATCATGCTGTTTCTAGAGAAATTGCCTCTAGACACATAGACTTAGTGCTAATAAATCAAAGCAAATACTGAATGAAGATCATTTACTGTCATCAGGCCAAGAGGCAAAGTTCGGTACATCTTATTTATCCTTAGGAACCACAAGTATTCTCACTACAAATGGGAAAAATGGTGTAATAACAAGCAGAATCTTCCATCTGTGAATTATTGTTCCCGACATTATGAACCTTTTTAACCTCCCAGTACTGATCTTCCCTATCTCATTCTACTCCAGCCACTCTGTCTCCTTGCCCTTCCTCACATAAGCTAAGTATGCTCTCACCTCAGGGCTGTTTCCTTTTCCTGGAACACCCTTCCCTCAGAAAATGCCCTGGTTCACTCATTTGTACAAATACTATTTTTTCCTTAGGCCTATTCCAACCACATAGCTTCAAAGTATAACTTCTCTTACCTCATCCCTTTCTATGCCCCCTCCTCTCCCTCCACTACTCATTTCCCTTCTAATTTATGACATGTGGTTTAAAGATGGCCAGAGATTATAAACCCATATATTTATTATAGCTATTGCTTGTCCTTATGTGTTTCTCCCATTTAGAGGGTATGCTCCATGAGGGTGGGAATCTTTGTTTTGTTCTTTGATGTACCTCAAGTGGTAGGTCTCTCACAAATATTGTACAATAAATACATTTTGTATTTCATGATTTTTTATTTTTTTAAAGATTCATTTATTTATTTTAGAGAGAGAGAAAAGAGTCAGACACTTAACCAACTGAGCCATCCAGGCATCCCTCATGACTTTTATTTTATAGAGAGGAGATCATGCTTAACCTAAGTGACTGTAATATACATTTATATGTATACATATATGTATATATATGTTTTTTACTGAAGTATAGTTGGTACACAATGTTGCATTATTTTGGGGGGTACAGCACACTGATTCGACAAGTCTAAATGTTATGCTATGCACACCACCAATGTAGATACCAACAGTGACCATATAATGTTATTACAATACCATTGACTAAATTCTCTCTGCTGTACCTTTTATCCTCATGACCTATTCATTGTGTAATCAGAAGCCCATCTCTCTCAGTCTCCTTCACCTATTTTGCCCATTCCCATCCTCCCCTCCCCTCTGGCAGCCATCAATTTATTTTCTTATATATGACTTAATTTCTGGGGTTTTTTTGTTTATGCATTTATTTTATGTTTAAGATTCCACATAAAAGCAAATCATATGGTATCTGTCTTTCCATGACTTATTTCACTGAGGATTATACCCTCTAGATACATCCATGTTGTTATAAGTGGCAAGGTTTCATCCTTTTTAATGACTGAGTAATATTCCATTATATGGACACTTGTGTTGCTGCCATATCTTAGTTATTGTAAACAATCCTGCAATAAACATAGGGGTGCATACAGCTTTTGAATTGCTGTTTTCATTTTCTTTGAGTAAATACCCGGAAATGGAATTACTGGATCATATAGTATTTCTATTTTTAATTTTTTGAGGAACCTCCATAATGTTCATCACAGTGGCTGCAGCAATTTACATTCCAACCAACGCAGCATGAGGGTTTTTTTCTTCCTCCACAACCTCACCAACATTTGTGACTTCTCTTTTTGATTCTAGCCATTCTCACAGGTGTGAGGTAATATCTCATTGTGGTTTTGACTTAATTTCCCTGAGAATAAGTGATGTTGAGCATCTTTTCATGTGTCTGTTGGCCATTTATATGTTTTTCTTTGGAAAAATGTCTATTCAGGTCCTCTGCCCATTTTTTTAAATTGGGTTATTTGGTTTTTTGTTGAGTTTTATAACTTCCTTATATATTTTGAATATTAACCCATTATCAGATGTATCCTTTGCAAATACCTCCTCCCATTCAGTGAGTTGCATTTTTGCTTTGTTGATGTTTCCTTTGCTGTGCAAAAGCTTGTTATTTTGGTGTAGTCCCAGTAATTTACATTTGTTTTTGTTTCCCTTGCCTCAGGAGACATATCTAGAAACATGTTCTTAAGGTCAAAGCCAAGGAGATTATTGCCTATGCTTTTTTCTAGGAATTATGTGATTTCAGGTATCACATTTAGGTCATTCATCCATTTTGAGTTAATTTTTGTGTATGGTATAAGAAAGGGGTCCAGTTTCATTCTTTTGCATGTCATCGTCCAGTTTTCCCAGCATCATTTATTGAAGAGCTCTCTTTCTCCGATTGTAATATTCTTGCCTCCTTTGCCATAGATTAACTGACCACATGAGCATGGATTTATTTCTGGGCTCTCTGTTCTCTTCCATAAATCTATGTGTGCATTTTTATGCTAGTATCATACTGTTGTGATTACTTCAGCTTTGTCATATATCTTGAAGTCAGAGATTGTGATACTTCTAGTTTTGTTCTTCTTCCTAAGGATTGCTTTTGTTATTTGGAATCTTTTGTGGTTCCATACAAATTTTAGGCTTACTTGTTCTAGGTCTATGAAAAATGCTATTGGTATTTTGCTAGGAATTGCATTGATCTGTAGATTGCTTTTGGTTAGTATGGACATTTTAACAATATTAACTCTTCCAATCCATAAGCATGGAATGTCTTTCCATTTCTTTGTGTCAGCTTCAATTTCTTTCATCAATATGTTTTGTAGTTTTCACAATACAGGTCTTAACCTCCTTGGTTAAGTTTATCCTTAGGTATTTTATTCTTTTGGCATATTTATAAATAGAATCGTTTTCTTAATTTCTATTTTTGCTACTCTGTTGGCAGTGCATAGAAATGCAGTTGATTTCTGTGTATTAATTTTGATTCCTACAATTTTATTGAATTCATTTTTTTACTTTTAATAGTTTTTTTTGATGGAGTCTTTAGGGGTTTTTGTGTATACTATCATGTCATCTGCAAATAGTGACAGTTCAACTTTTTTCCTTATCAATTTGGATGTCTTTTTTTTCCCTTGATCGCTATGGCTAGAACTTTTAGTGCTTTGTTGAATAAAAGTGTCAAGAATGGACAACTTTGTCTTGATCCTGATCTTAGAGGAAAAGCTCTTCATTTTTACCACTGAGTATGATGTTAGCTATAAGTTTATCATAAGTAGCCTTTATTATGTTGAGGTAGTTTCCTCTAAACCACTTTATTAGTGTTTTTATAATGTCAAATGTTTTTTCTGCATCTACTGAGATGATTATTTGTTTTGTTGATGTGGTGTATCACATTGAATGATTTATGACTGTTGAAACATCCTTGCATCTCCAGAATAAATTTCACTTGATTGTGGTAATTTTTAAAATGTGTTGTTGAACAGTTTGCTAATAATTTATGGAGGATTTTTGCATCTATGTTCATCAGGAATATTGGCATTTAGTTATCTTTGGAGTGTCTGTCTGGTTCTGGTATCATGGTGATCCTGGCCTTGTAGAATGTATTTGGAAGCTTTCCTTCTTCTTTTATGTTTTGGAATAATTTGAGGAGAATAGGTATTAACTCTTTAAATGTTTGGTAGAATTTGCTTATGAAGCCATTTGGTCCTGGACTTTTGTTTGTTGGGAATTTTGTTTTATTACCAGTTCAATACTGTTACTAGTAATTGGTCTGTTCAGATTTTCTATTTCTTCCTGTTTTAGTTTGGAAGATTATAGGTTTCTAGGAATATATCTTTTTCTTCTAGGTTGTCCAATTCGCTGGCGCATAATTTTTGTAGTATTCTCTTATAATCCTTCATATTTCTGTGGTGCCAGTTTTTACTTCTCTTTTGTTTCTAATTTTATTTATTTTTGTCCTTTTTTTCCTGATGAATCTGGCTAAAGGTTTATCAATTTTGTTTTTCTTTTCAAAGAAAGAACTCCTGGTTTCACTGACCTTTTCTTTCTTTCTTTCTTTCTTTCTTTCTTTCTTTCTTTCTTTCTTTCTTTCTTTCTTTCTTTTTTGTCTCTACATCATTTATTTCTACTCTGGTCTTTATTATTTCCTTCCTTCTACTAATCTTGGGCTTTTGTGGGGGAGGTCCCTTTAGGTATAAGGTTAGACTGGGGATTTTTTTGGGTGCATATATGTTTATAATTGTTATATGCTCTTGGAATGATTTATCATTATGATTACATAATGATTCTTTATCTCTTGTTACAGTTTTTGTTTTAGGTCTCTTTTGTCCAATGTAAGTATTGCTACCCTGGTTCTTTTTTTTTATTCCCTTCTATTTGCAAGAGATATCCTTTTGTATCACCTCACTTTAGGTCTAAAGTGCATCTCTTGTAAGCTTAAACAATATCTTTTAATGTTCAAATTAAGTGGTTTTAATTCATAATATAACAATATTAAGAAACGTATAAATTAATTTGATAGCAATAAAGTGTGTATATGTGTGAGGAATTTTAATAATGTAAATGTTAAATATAAAACATTGCTTTTGATACTTGTCAAATTTTTCTTTTAAAAATAAACTTCATACTTATCAAATGAATAAATAATTTAAAATAATATTTTGTTTTACAGAACCATGTACTATTAATGTGGATTACATGTACAGAAATAACATAGAGATGAAGTGGAAGTATGAAGGAAAGGTCTTACATGGAGATTTAATAGATTTTGTATGTAAAGAAGGATATGACTTATCTCCATCAACCTTGTTGTCTGAATTTTCTGTACAATGCAATAGAGGAGAAGTGAGATATCCTTTATGTATTAGAAAAGGTAAAACAGTGCTTTCTGACAATTTCTCAGGTGATTAATACTACCACTTGGGTTCAAAGTATAAGAAAGACCCCACCCAACTTACTACCATCATCTTCTAATCTAGAAATTGGGAACGATCTGATCATGTACAGTAAGCACATACACTTAAATAGGATGACTATGCTGACATCTTTTAATTCCAATAAGTCAGTTTTATAAAGGGAGAAATTAATAGGTCTGATAGATAACTACCAGACTATCAGAAGACTGATCTCCCTAATGTGAACAATCAACACCAGTGGAAAACATTGCTTTTCTGGGGGTTTGGTGGAGAGTATTCTTTCAGAAGAGGGCTTGATGCAGATTGAAAGACTCTATGTGCTCCTTGGATATGGCACTATTGCTTTTAATAAGAAAATAATTTTTAATAAGAAAAAATATTAGAGAAAAATTTTTTTCTTTAATAAAGAAAAAATACATATAGAAAGCATGGCTTCAAAGGGGTTTCATACATTTTCACTTTTGACTTAATAAAAAGGGAAAAATAAAATCACAGTTATTATTATTATTATTTTGCCAGTTTTAAATGTTTTTCAGTTTTATAATATGAGATTCTAATTGCAATCATCAATTTTATATACAAAGTTATTATAGAACTATGCTCTCAATACTTAAAATTTGACAGACATCTTAAAAATGCTTTTACATGAAATATCTCATTTTATTCCTTTTAAAAAATATTTATTTATTTTAGAGAGAGAGAGAGAAAGAGAGCATGAGTAGGGGTTGGGGGTAGGAGGGGCAGAGGGAGAGAAATCCTCAAGTAGACTCCATGCTGAGCATGTACCTGAGGTGGGGCTCAATCCCACACCCCTGAGATCATGAACTGAGCCAAAATCAAAAGTCAGTGTTTAGCCATCTGAGCCACCCAGTCATCCCTACCTTATTTTATTTCGATAGTAATTATCAAAGTATTGGATGCTTATCATAGAAATTCATTGTATGCTTTTAAAATCTTTTTTTTTCAGAATCTAAAGGAGTGTGTGCATCTCCTCCACTTATTAAAAATGGAGTCATAATTAGTTCAAGATTAGAAATCTATGAAAATGGTTCCTCGGTAGAATACAAGTGTTTTGATCACCATTTTCTTCAGGGGTCTAAGGAGTCCTATTGTTTAGAGGGAGTGTGGACTACACCACCATCGTGTTTAGGTGTGTACTGTGAACTATTCACCTATTTAATAAAATAAAACCATATTTTTTCACTTTCTCTTTTCTGTTAGTTGATATAATACTATTATAATGCTTAATTTGCAATATTTGTGTATCAGTGTGCCTACCTCATCACTGGTTTCTGTTCTTTCCTGTAGATCATAAATAACTATAGTCCATCTTGCCCTAACAAATATTTATTAAATACAAACCATATACCAATACTGTTGTTTTATGGGCTAAAAGATGAATAAGTCATGGTGATGTGAGTATATATATATTAACAATTATTATTCAGTGTGATTGGTGCTATAATAGAAATCATGAGGGCAATGAGGAAGCAAAGATAGAAAGTTGTTCTAAGGCAAGTTATGCCTTATTAGTGAAACATTTGAATAGAAGTAACAGTATCTACCAAGATTCTCAGGAGGCATTAAAAAAGCATTTCTTTAAATAAAAAGAAAATATTTTTTGTTTCTGTATCTGACTTATTTACTATCTTATTTTACCAACTTGGACTTGAGTACAATACTGAGTAGAAGTAGTGGGTATCTTGTTTCCCAATCTCATAAGTAAAACTTTCAACAATTCATCTTTAGTTACAGTGTTATAAATACTTTAAAATCAAACTTAAAATGTAGAAAGCTTTAATTTCTATTTTTCTAAGAGGTTTTTTTTTTTAATCTTCAGTGAATGTTTAATTTTAGCACTATCTATTGAAATAATCATATTATTACTTTTTCCCCCTGGAATTATATTGCTTCTTTTTGAATGTTAAAATATAATTACATTCCTACAATAAATCACACTTGGTTGTGATGAATTATGCTTTTTATATATTGTTGGATTTTTTTTTAATTTTATTTTTTATAAACATATAATATATTTTTATCCCCAGGGGTACAGGTCTGTGATTCATCAGGTTTACACACTTCACAGCACTCACCATAGCACATACCCTCCCCAATGTCCATAACCCCAGCCCCCCAACCCCCCTCCCCCCATCAACCCTCAGTTTGTTTTGTGAGATTAAGAGTCACTTATGGTTTGTCTCCCTCCCAATCACATCTTGTTTCATTTACTCTTCTCCTACCCCCTTAACCCCCCATGTTGCATCTCCTCTCCCTCATATCAGGGAGATCATATGATAGTTGTCTTTCTCCGATTGACTTATTTCGCTAAGCATGATACCCTCTAGTTCCATCCACGTGGTCGCAAATGGCAAGATTTCATTTCTTTTGATGGCTGCATAGTATCCCATTGTGTATATATATCACATCTTCTTTATCCGTTCATCTTTTGATGGACATCTAGGTTCTTTCCATAGTTTGGCTATTGTAGACATTGCTGCTATAAACATTTGGGTGCACGTGCCCCTTCGGATTACTACGTTTGTATCTTTAGGGTAAATACCCAGTAGTGCAATTGCTGGGTCATAGGGTAGTTCTATTTTCAACATTTTGAGGAACCTCCATGCTGTTTTCCAGAGTGTATTGTTGGATTTTTATTTGCTTATATTTTTCTTAGAAGTTTTCCATCTATTTTCATGAGAGAGATCAGTCTGTTGTTTTCCTTTTGGGTTTGGTATGGTTTCTACTACCCTCATATGGTGAACTGGTAAGTTCCCTATTTCTCAATTCTCTGGAATTTGTTAAGATTGGCACCATTTCTTCCTTAATAATTATAATAATCCACCAAACATGCCATTTGAGCATCAAGTTCTCTTGAGGAAAGATCCTGACAGCTGTCAGTTTTGGTAGGGTGGTTTATAGAAATTTGTCCATAATATCTAAATTGTCAAATTTGTTGACATAATGTTATTCGCAGCATCCTTTTACATTCTTCTTAATGCCTTTAGTGATGTGTCATTTATTTTTACTGCTATTAAGCTGTATCTCTTTCTTTCTTGACATGTCTTGCTAAGCGTCTTTTATTTATTTATTTTTTTTAGAAGTTTGGGTTTTTTTTTTTTTTTTTAAGATTGATTGACTGATTGATTGACAGCGGGGTGGGAGATCACAGGAAGAGGGAGACAGGAAGCAGACTCCCACTGAGCCTGGGGCTCAACCTAGGGCTCCATTTCAGGACCCAGAGATCATGCATGACCTGAGCCAAAACTAAGAATTGACCAGTTCACTGACTGAGCCACAGAGGCACCCTGGTCTATAACTTTTATTAGGCCTTTCAAACAACTAATATTTGCATTTGTTACCCTTTCATCAAATGTTGCTTACTATTTTAATAATTTATATTCTTATCATTATTTCCTCTCTTCTGATTTCTTAAATTTATTTTATTACTCATAGCATTTTAGGTGGATACTTAGATTACTGATATTCAGCCTTTGTTTTTTTAAAGATTTTTAAAGAAAGTTTAATTTAATTTGTTAAGGAAGCTTAAGGATATAAATTTCCCACTGAGCCTAACTTTAACTTTATCCCCACACATTTTTATGTTCTGGAATTTTATTATTATTCAGCCATTCAGTTAAAAAAAAGTGATACCCATTTTGATATCCTGTATTCAGTCTGAGTTATATAGAATTGTGGTTTTTAGTTTCTAAACATTGGAAATTTTTCTAGTTTCCTTTTGTTATTGATTTCTAATTTGAATCCATTGAGACACACTTTGAATTATATCAATCTTTTAAAATTCATTGATATTTACTTTATTACAAGCATGTATTTATTGTAGGTACACATTCTTTTGTACTTGAAATAAACTAATAAACTGTGGTTATTTTTGGATTCACTGTTGCTTCATATATGTCGGTTGAATTTTGTTTTTTATTAAGTTCATTCATATCTGTGCTGATTTCTGTCTGTTTTTCTATCAGTCACCAAAAGAAGTATGTTAAAATCCCTTATACTCTGAGCATTTAAAAACATTCCTCATATTAGTTCTTTCAATTTTTGCTTTTGTATTTTTATACTATCCTACTAGGTCCACACAAATTGAAGCATATTAAATCTTGGTGTACTGACCCTGCATAATTTTAAAAGAGTCCTCCTTTATCTATACTAATACTTTTTGTTTGTTTTTGCCCGAAGATTCCTTACCTATACAAGCTTCAACAAGTACATTTTTTCATTCTTTAACTTTAAACATTTTGGTTTTTTATAAGCAATATATAGTTATTTATTTTAAAGCATACTTATTTAGTCTGACAGTCTTTCTCTGTATAGTATTTGCCCATATACATGTTAATATAAGTGCTGATATATTTGGTTTATAGTTACCATCTTACTATACTAGATATATACCCTATCTGTTCTTTATGCTTCTCTCTCTCTCTCTCTCTTCCCAGTAAATCAGTTTTTTTCATGCCATTTCTCTCTCTACTAGCTTGTCGATTACACTTTCTTCTTGGCTTCCTTTCACTATTTTCACAGAGATTACATAATTCAACCAAGACTTATTACATTTAGATATAAGTTAGTACTTACACCACCTCTCCAAGCCCCAGAAAACTTCAGCTTGATTTACCCTTCCCACTTTTTGTATTACTGTGTCATGCATTTTCGCTCTACATGTAGTTTAAGTCCCGAAGATACGATGAATATTACATTATCCAGAAATATTCTTTAAGATTTGTCGATATGTTTTTCAGTGATTTGTTTCTCATCTTCTCCTGTTTGCTACTATTTCTGATTGAGATTATTTTGCACATGCCTGAAAAGTATTATTTCTTTATTATTTTCTCAGTATTTGTTTGCCTGAAAACTTTTGAAGAGTAATTTTATCAGAGATAGAATTCTAGTTTGGCCTCTTTTTCCTTCCCTGCTTTAGATGTCATTTTATCCTTTTCTGCATTTCATAGTTTTTGTTAGTTAATGCCAACTTTTTAAGGATTTTATTTATTTATTTGTTAGGGAAAGAGAGAAGGAGAGAGACACAAGCAGGGGAAGTGGCAGGCAGAGGGAAAAGAAGGCTCCCCGCTGAGCAAGGGGCCCCATGCTGTGCTCAATCCCAGGACCCTGGGATCATGACCTGAGCTGAAGGCAGATGCTTAACTGACTGAGCCACCCAGGCATCCCAGTCAATGCAATTCTTACTGGTATTTCTTTGAAACTAAGTTTCTTTTTGTACTCCGCTGATTTTGAGATTCTTTTCCCCTTTATTTTCCATAGGCTATTTATGCGGGGCCTTGATGTGTGTTTCTCAGAGCATTTCATTCTTTTTCTTTTTATTTAAGATTTTATTTATTTATTTTTGCAAGAGAGAGAGAGAGGGAGAGAGAGAGCATGTGCATGAATGGGGGTGGGGGGCAGAGGGAGAAGTGGACTCCCCACCAGGCAGGGAGCCTGATGCAAGACTCGATCCCAGGACCCTGGGATCAGGACCTGAGCCAGAGGCAGATGTTTAACTGACTGAGCCCCCCAGGCACCCCTGAGCATTTCATCCTTCAAGTTGGTAGCACTTCTTGTAACTGTTGCTTGATGCTTTTCATTACCTTTAGTATTTTAATCTTCTTTGTTCCCATTTGGTAGTTTCTACTGATACATCTTACAATTCACTAATCCTTTCTTGAGATGTGTCCAACCTGCTTTAAACTCCTCTACTGAGGTCTCAATATTGTTGTATTTCTAGAATGCCTGCTTTATGCTTTTTTTTTTCTTTTTGTAGATTTCAGTTGGCTGATGAAAGACTTTATCTTAACATCTATTTCTTTACCATGTTACTCACACTTATCTTTAAGTCCTTGCCTGCAAACTCCATTATCTGGATCATCTGTAGGCCTATTTTGATTTCTAGCCTAATCTTTTGCTATTTCTGTTAACAGTTGATTGAATATCAAATAGTATGTATGGAAAATTTTAAAAACCTGAAACAATGATGTTCATCTGGCTCCAGAGAATACTCATCTCTTCTTTTGGCTGATAGTGTAGGGGAAGTTGGTCTCAATCTAATTAGATTTGCAGTTTTTTCTAAGCTTATTTTCAGACCTTTGTTTGTTCCTACTAATAGAACATAACCCTGCAGGTTTCTTCATTAAGAGTTTGATGTTTATACCAAGGTTCCTCCTTCTTGACTGGCTTTCATATTACTGGGAGACTGCCAAAAAAAACTTTATGTGTCTTTTCATTCACTTTCTGCTTGGCTCTTTATCCTCTCTTTTTGCACAAGTCAAGAATAGGCAGATGCTTCAAGAGAAAAGCCAGTATCACGTTCGTTTTCTGTACCTCCCATTCTTCTGGGTTCTTGACCACTCAGATCCTGGCCGTCATGGCTGACCAAAACTTCCATTTTTCTATCCCCAACAACATGAGATTTCCAAAAGCTCTGCAGCTCCATGTTTGCTGTTGACCATTCTCTACAATTTCTCAACTCATGCTGAGAATCAACAAATGCCCCAAGAGGAAGATGCCTCTCGGAGGAGGTTTTCCCAGAACCTTAGCATCTGAAGGAGCTTTTTCCAGAACCTTAACATCTGAAGGAGCTTTTTCCAGAACCTTAGCATCTTGAGTGCCTTGGAAATGCTCTAATTCTGTGAAATACTGGCTTCATGTCTGTTTTCATATTTTCTAGTTTTAGTAGAAGTGCCGGTCTGATGTAGACTATTCTGTCATAGCTGAGAACAGAAGGTCCATGAATTAATTTTTAACTTTTTTTAAAATTAAAATTTCATGTTTTGTAGAACCATAAGATTTTAAATTGTAGTACTATTTGACCTAATTTTCAAACATATTTTGCAGTGACTATATTCTCTTAGAGTCTTTCTGATTATTCTTCTTCATTTTTATTCTGTCTATAAAACATCTAGCACAACATCTGACACTTAGGGATTCAATAAATACTTACCAAAAATATTGAATGAAGGAGTTTGTAAATGTATTACAGTTGTATGATTCATATGCTGTATTAGCAACTCTGAACCTTTAGCCTTTTTCGGGACCTACTCTTTGGTGTTATGGCAGCCAGGAGGCAAATAAGGACAGAAACTCCATTTTCTGAAATAACTTGTTATTTCATTTTACATTCATTATTATTATTTCATTGTTTCATTAATCATTATTTCATATTATTTCACTGTTATTTCATTTTACATTCCTGTTAGTTCTAAGATGTGTCAAGATAATTTTCTTCTTTTTATTTTTTCAGAGCCTTGCACATTATCTCTTGTTGAAATGGAAAATAATAATTTACTCCTAAAGTGGGATTTTGATGATAGACCATATATTTTCCATGGCGAGTATATTGAGTTTCTTTGTAAGAGAAATACATATGTAGCTGACCTCTCTATTTTTGGATCTGAACTCAGAGTGCAATGTGACAGAGGGCAGTTAAAATATCCAACATGTATTCACAGAGAAAGGTAAGAAGAAGCTTCTGCCTACAATTATCTTCTTCAGATTGTTATTCAAGAGGTTCTTTATATTATAAATTTAAGAAATATTAGGTTTTACAAAACTACTTCATGGTCATTATATAGAAAAAAATAATTTCACTTTTTAAGCCAAATGAACTCCTAGAAGGATTAATTAATTCACAAAGTCAAAAAGTTTTCATATTTGTGACACTTTGACAGTTTGGCAAATAAATTGATTTATATGTACAATATTTAAATATGGAAAAATTAACCTATGTTGATATAGAATATTACATTTTCTCCACTTCCTAGTATATGTCCAAGTATAAATTGTAAAGATGGGAAACAAAGTTGCACAAATCTTTCTATTGATAGAAGAGCATATTAATAACAATGATTAAAATTAAGTCATTTTCAGGAACATATGCCTGTGTAAGAGCTTGGAAACTCTAAAATGTTTCCTCATATGGTAATTTAAAAATACATATTTTATACTTTTTTATTTTTCTTTTCCTCCTTTTTTGGTTTTTATTAGAGTATAAATTATGCACAATATTACATTAGTTTCAGGTATACAGGTATATAACCCTATTGTTATGCTATGCTCACCACAAGTATAGCCATCATCTGCCACCATTCAATGCTAGTATAATACCATTCACTATATTTCCTGCACTGTACCTTTTATTCCCATGATGTACTTGTCCCATAACTGGAAGCCTGACTCTCTCACTTGGTCCCCTTTTCCCATTTTGCCCATCCTTCTATCTTCCTACTCTCTGGCAACCATCAGTTTGTTCTCCATATTTATAGATCTGTGTCTGCTTTTTGTTCTTTGTTTTGTTTTCTTAGATTCCACATATAGTGAAATCATATGGTATTTGTTTTTCTGTCTGACTTATTTAAAGACCTGAATAGCCAAATCAATCTTGAGAAAGAAGAACAAAAATGGAGGTATTGCTATTGTAGAGTTCAAAATATACTACAAAGCTATAGTAATCAAAATAGTATGGTACTGGAATAAAAATAGACACATAAAAAAATAGACACATAGATAAATGGAACAGATTAGAAAGCCCAGAAATAAACCCATACTTTTTAAAAAAGATTATTTATTTATTTATTTGACAGAGAGAGAGATCACAAGTAGTCAGAGAGGCAGGCAGAGAAATGTGGAGTGAAAAAGACTCCCCACTGAGCAGAGAGCCCAATGTGGGGCTTGATCCCAGGACCCTGGGATCATGATCTGAGCCAAAGGCAGAAGCTTTAACCCACTGAGCCACGCAGGCACTCTGTAAAGCCATACTTTTATATGGTCAATTAATCTATGCCAAAGGGAGCAGGGATATACAATGGAGAAAAGAAGTCTTTCAATAAATGGTGTGAGGAAACCTGGACAACCACATGCAAAAGAATGAAACTGGACCACTTTCTTACATGATATACACACACACAAAACTTCAAAATGGGTAAAAGACCTAGAAGAAAACAGGTAGCAATCTCCTTGTCTTTGGCCTTAGCAACATTTTTCTAGATATGTCTCCTGAGGAAGAAAAACAAAAGCAAAAATAAACTACTGAGACTATATCAAAACAAAAACGTCTGCATAGCAAAGGAAACAACCAACAAAACAAAAAGACAACCGACTGAATGGGAGAGGATATTAGGAAAAGACATATCTGATAATGGGTTAATATCCAAAATATATGAAGAATTTTATTTTTTTTTAAGATTTATTTATTTATTTGAGAGCAAGAGTGAGTGCAGAGGGGAGGGGGAAAGGAAGAGAATCCCAAGCCAAATCATCGCTGATCATGGGGCCTGATGTAGGGCCGATTCTGTGACTCTGAGCCAAAACTGAGTGTTGGGCCCTCAAGTGGCTGTGCTGCCTAGGTGCCCCAATATATGAAGAACTTTAACCTCCACCTCCCAAATGGGCTACAAGGATGGCTAAGTCAGTTAAGTGTCTGACTCCTGATTTTGGCTCAGGCCATGATCTCATGATTGAGATGGAGGCCCACGTCAGGCTCCATGCTCAGTGCGAGTCTGCTTAAGAGTCGTTCCCTGTCCCTAGCCCCTCCCCACATGCTCACGCTCTCTCTCTCTCTCAAAATAAATAAATACCCAAATAATTCAATTAAAAAGGGGGCAGAGGACATTTTTCTAAAGAAGACATGTAGATGGTCAACAGACAGATGAACAGACAAAAAGACACTCAACATCACTAATCAGGGAAATGCAAATCAGAACCATGAGATATCACCTTCCACTTGTCAGAATGGCTAGAATCAAAAAGACAGGAAATAACAAGTGTTGGCAAGGATGTGAGGAACAAGAAACCTTCGTGCCCTGTTGGTGGGAATGTAAATTGGTACACCCACTATGGAAAACAGTATGGAAGTTCCTAAAAAAATTAAAAAATAGAAATACTATATGATCCAATAATTCTACTTCTGGGTATTTACCCAGTGAAAACAAAAACAGTAATTCTAAAAGATATATGCACCCCTTTGTTTACTGAAGCCTTATTTATAATAGCCAGGATATGAAAGCAGTCCAAGTGCTATTGATAGATGAATGGATAAAGAAGATGTAGGATATTATATATACAATGGAATATTATTCAACCATAAAAAGGATGAGATCTTGCCATTTGTGACAACATTGGTGGACCTAGAGGGTTTTATGCTAAATGAAATAAGTCAGACAGAAAAACAATAATGCTGTTTTATATTTCTTGATGAATGAAATATAATCTTGTCTTTAGTAAAATATTACAATAATATAATAAAATGATGTAAATCACTTTAGAGGATCGGGATTTTGAGACTTTAAAAGATACAGTATTAAATGGAAATTATACTTTATGTCTGATTAAGAATATTATAAAATTAGGGGTGCCTGTATGGCTCAGTCAGTTAAGCATCTGCTTTTGGCTCAGGCCATGATCCCAGGGTCCTGGGATCAAGCCCTGCATCGGCTTCCTGCTCAGTGGGAGTGTGCTTCTCCCTCTGCCCTTCCCCCTGCTCATGCTTGCACTTGCTCTCTATCTCTGAAATACATAAATAAAATCTTTTTTTAAAAAAGAATATTATAAAAATAACTCATGGTAAAGTGTATGTGTTCTAATCATGAACCATGAACTATATGAACAACATAGGGACAACTTTTTAATACTTTAAACAGTCTATAAAAACATTCATAAGACACACATGGGTGGAAAACTTTAAAAATTTTTAACTATGGTAAAATCAGGATAGAAAAATTTTATGTGTATTTAAGTGTTTTGGTGTATCTTGGATTTCTCATTTCAAAAAGAAAAAGAGGTAAGTAATTTAGAAAAAATTGTTTAAAAAATGGTATTACTGTATCAAATACAGTTGAGATTTGAGATTTGAAAAAGGAATTGGTGGTAAATTTACCAAGTCTGTCTACTTGCTTTTATCAATAACTAACTAAAACAATGACTAATTATATGAAATGTTGAAGAGCTAAGTTATAATAAATACTTGACCAAAAATGGTGCTTATTTCAAAAAATCTCTCTTCCTTCCTTTCTCTTTGTCATCAAGGATGCTGTCTTATCAACAACACTTCAGGACATAAAAATGTATGACAGAAAGAAGAATAGTATATCAACACATCGTAAAATCCTTTATAAAACATAATTTTTAGAAGAAAAAATTACAAATCTCTAAGTTTTAACTTGCTTGAAGATTTGAATCTAACTTGTCTATGTTGAACATTTTTTATTTATAAATAAGCCAGAACATGTCTCCTTTCTAATTTGACTGATCTGACATGTAACCTAACCTTTATGGCATGCTTTCCCTCTGTTAAAAAGATTGATCTACATGTTAAAATATTTGTTTCCTAATATCCATTCATTGTGCTATATTGTTGCCTTCAAGATATTTGTTTTTATGATATTCACTAATATTAGAGTTTTCTGGTAATTTTAATTCAATCTTTATATCAATACTAAAGAACCAAACACACTAGAGATAAGAAATGTACATCATAGGGGCGCTTGGGTGTCTCAGTCGTTAAACCTCTGCCTTTTGGCTCAGATCATGATCCCAGGGTCCTGGGTCGAACCGCCTCAGGGTCCCTGCTCAGCAAGAAGCCTGTTCTCCCTCTTCCACTCCCCCTGCTTGTGTTCCCTCTCTCGCTGTTTCTCTCTCTGTCAAATAAATAAATAAAATCTTCAAAAAAAAAATAAACAACTATACATCATATTGGAGAATTTATTGTATTAAATATGGAAAAGACTGCCCTTCACACTTTCTAAATGTAAAAAACTTTAAAAATTAACGTAGTATTAATTTCAAGGTTAATAATAATAATGGTGAACTATCCATATCTTAAAATGTTGCCCAAAGAATGTGACAAAAGAAAGAATAACCCTTCCCATTTTTATATTTTACTCTTTCAAGTAATATTTTTAAGTTAAGGAATTATTGGAATGATGCAGATTATAATATCAAAAATCAGTCCTGCAAGCAACAAAGCCTGAGAGTGTCAATATTACCGAGGTCTGTTGAAGACTTCAAAGAGTCACACTGTCGCTTTTTAGTTTGAAGTAACAGTCATACTTCCATTTGTTATTAGGGTTCATGCATAAGCATATGTAATAGCACTACTAGGGTACTAGGACCCCTAGTAAGACAGGTTGTTGTTACTAGAATAGCACATTTTCTTAACTGGGAGCTAATCAGTTCACCTAACTCAAGACCTTCTCAATATGATGACAATTTTCTACAATTACAATTTTCTAATGAAAGACAACTGGACCTAACCGTGGATTAAATATGAATTCATTCAGTGTTAAACGTGTGTATTTCAGAATTGTCCTTGAGTTCATAATCATTCTTTCACTATTCTAGTAGTTATTATCCACAGCGGATCCCATAAAATTGAAATTTGATTGAAATTAAATATCAACAGAAAAGGGTTAATCATTTTCAATTAATCAATCAACCCATTAATACACAATATTGAGCACCGGCTCTATCCCAGAAGACAGAAGATTTGCTCAAGGTGGGTAACTCTCTTGGGACTAAGTATTTAGTATTGTCATGTCTTCTCATTGTGAAATCTACCGATTTTTATATATGGAGGGGGAATCTAAAAATATTTTGTGAGCCGTGTGGCTCATGAGCTGTCAATTAGTAAACCAAATGCTAAATAAATGAATGTGAGAAAAATGCAACACAGGAAACATGTACAGAGTAAATGTGCATGGTGACATGGAGGAGGAGGAAATTAACTTGTTAGAGGGTCTGTTGGAAGCTTCCCAGGAAAAGCCTGAGGTCCACCAGCCTAGAGAAGATATGCTACAGAGAGGGGATGGCACACACTAAGTCAAATATTAAGCATGTGCCCTAGGCTAGGCATCTGCTGAGCACTAGTGATAAAACAGGGAGTAAGACACATTGTTTCTGTTGTTGTGGATCACGTGCCCTGATGGGAGAGGAAGATGTTGACCAAATCCTCACAAGATGGCGTCTATCAGGAAAGACACTCTCTTTGTTAGGGAACACCAGGGGGTGCAGCCCGGTCCCAGAGGATGCTCGAGAAAGGCTTCCCTGAGGAAGTGATATATAAGCTGAGCCTTGAAGGGAGAAAAGAAAATATTTAGGGTGAGGGAGGCTTATGTGGAAAACATATGCAGAGAACACGATGTTTCTAAGAAGCTAGTAAATAGCCCATGTGGATTGAGTGGAAAAGAGTGAAGGAGGGAGTGGAACCAGTTAAACCTGGAGAGACTGGGGTCCTGTGATGAAGGCCTTTGTAGCCCAAACTAAAGATATTGGAAGTCACTGATTGAAATGAGATGTTTATAGCAATTGCTAAAAAGACAGCACTGAGTGCCGTAAGGAGAGACTGGGCTGAAGTAGGGGTAGGGACATAGGCATAGCGAAACTACTTTCTTTTAAAATTAATTTATAATATATTATTTACCCCAGGGGTACAGGTCTGTGATTTATCAGTCTTACACAATTCACAGCACCCACCATAGCACATACCCTCCCAATGTCCCATCACCCAGCCACCCCATCTCTCCCACCACTCCACTCCAGCAACCCTCAGTTTCTTTCCTGAGATTAAGAATCTCTTATGGGGGGCACCTGGGTGGCTCCGTTGTTGAGCGTCTGCCTTCGGCTCGGGTCATGATCCCAGGGTCCCGGTATGGAGCCCTGCATTGGGCTCCCTGCTCAGTGGGAGGCATGCTTCTCCCTCTGCCACTCCCGCTGCTTGTGTTCCCTCTCTTGCTGCATCTGTCTCTCTGTCAAATAAATAAATAAAATCTTTTTTTAAAAAATCTCTTATGGTTTGTCTCCCTCTCTGGTTTCGACTTGTAGGGAAACCACTTTCAAGAAAAGAATGCCATCATCCAAGCGAAATATGATGGCAATTGACACTGGAGGCTGTTGGGGATGGTCATGAAAAATATATGGCCACCGGCTGACCTGGAGTTGGACCCCAGCTCCTCACTCCCTCCCTGTCCTTGGAATGTCGATTCCTTTGCCTTTCCCACCCCCAGAGGTTACTCCAAAGACTCAGATAGACAGTCATGTGGTATTGAGAACACCTGCATGGTATGCATGACGGAACCTAGTTAAGACCTCTATATAAACTTCAAGATCTGATGAGCAGGTACCGGGACCTTGTCATCTTGCTGCTGCCCAAGGCAAGCCTCATATGTAAGTTCCCTTTGTTTATTACACCTGCCACCTACCCACCTGGGGTAGGTGGGTCTTTCCTTAGTTTCTCCCTGCCCTCTGAGTGCAGGGGCCAGTTTCAGATTATACCTGGGAAACTCCTGGGAGGGTTGCAAATCAACAGAGACCGCAGCAGGGAGGGTGCAGGCTAGATTGGAGCAAGAGATATTTAGGGTGTGATGTCATCATGACATCTAGACCGATCAGATGTGGGTGGGGGTAAGGCAGACAAAAGGTTCAAGAGGATACTTTGGTTTCTGGCTTAATTAAGTTGATGATAACCGTCTAAGTGTGGTAGGAGGAATCGGAAGACAAGGCAGTGAGAGGGTGTGGAGTTAAGCATGAAGCGTTTAGTGTCAAAAACGTTATTTTTGAACTATCTGTTGGGTAGCCAAGAAAAAAATACTGAGTAAGCAGTTGATTCTTGCAGTGATGCTGTGATGACCAACCAGATTCCTTTCCGAAACAGAAGACTTACTCTCTCAGCTGCCAGAAGTTCTCAATTATCAGCTTCCTAAGGCAGTTGATTCAGCTGAAGAAAATCTTTCCTCCCAAGGTCATGACTCCTTCCAAGGGTGGCCTGTCATTAACCAGTCATTGGCCAATAGGAATTATTACGAAAAGACCCTTCATTCCAACTTGGGACACTTCTACAGGGACATCCCAGCTTCAGAGGTACCTAGAGTTCGCAGACAACACTGCTCCCCTCCAATCCCTTCCACAGATGTGAATCCTAAGAGTATACCTTAAAAATGTTCTTGGCTGCTAATCTCCATCCCACAGTCTGGGAACCCAACCTATGAGAATTATACGAGCCTGGGTATCAGAACAGAGCTCAGCAAAATTTGCAGTTATTGGTTGGCAGATGTCTATGAAACTAGGATAATAGATGAGTTTTTCAGGGTTAGCTGCAGGCCTAGTTCACAGTTTAGAGGGGATCTGAAGTGTAGCGATTGCCCTAGGAAAAGCTACGATGAAAGAAACTGGTGAGGAATGGCTGGAATGCTCCAATGGAAACCAGAAGAGATGAAGATCGAAAATGCTGTCTCGATGTTATTGATTACCTTGAAAGGAACATCACTGTTAAGTGTGAAATTGAGAGAGGAACAGGTTGAGGGATGAACGTAAGGTACAAAAAACAGAGACATGACTATAGTGAGCTTGGCAGTAAGTGTGATAGTGAAGGGAAGAGAGGTAGGGTGGCATGGGGGGGGGAAATAGGGATAAAGCAGGGATTTTTTTTTTTTAATGGAAACATTTGGGCATGTTCTAATTGGGATGGGAATGGGTGAGGAAAGAAGGACAAGTGGAAGATACTGAGAAAATTTTGCACAACAGATTGCAGAGGATTCTTGGAAAAAGGAGGAGAGATGGGTGGCTCTTGGCTGGGAAGTGACTCTCGTCAGGTAGTTTCTGTCTCTCCTGTGGAGGAAGGGAAGTCACTGCTGGGAATGTGGCAAGATATTTGGACAGGGTAGCTGGAGGAGTGAGGAGACCAGAGACACTGAAAAGAGTCAGACAATGAGGAAGTAAGCGCAATCCAACAAGGCGGTTTGGCAAACTGTTTCAACGAGTCATCACTTCAGTGAGAACGTGTAAAGTGTTGAGCATAATGTTACAATAATGGCCATTTTGCTTTTTAGAGAACATTATGTTGTAAGATTATCTTTAGCACGATGAACATGAAAGCAAACTGTGTTTAGGTGATTTGCCACCCCTGCATGATAGAGTCAACAACCAAAGAATCCCTACCATGGTGACCGACTTACCGTATTCCAAATTTTAAAAGGGCGCTGCCTGGTTCTGCAGAGAGAAACTAATTTTTCAAAGGGAAGTTAAGTTCACAGGTATCTGTTCGTTACTTCATAGCGAAAGTGACAAAAAGTTACTTCATAGGGAAAGATGGAAACCCCAGAGAACATTACACATTAAAACTGAATTCAGGGAAACTCAGCATGATTCCTTTGGAGGAAAAATGGAGAGCATGGGAAGTATTAAAAAGTCTAACCCAAGCTGAGAAATACGTTACCTAATACACTTTTTCTCAAATGTAATTTAAGATTAATCATCCCACAATAGGCAAGGTTTCAACTGACAAGGATTTTAATTTGTTTTTATACACTTCATTTCCTCAGGAACTATTTTAGTCTTTAAATGAGCATTGCGTTGTATTTTATATACTCCAGTGCACATTACAAGGCCCTCAGAAGGGAACCTGCCAGAAACCCACTGCCCCTTTGCGGCTTGTGGAACCCAAAACATACAGATGTT